TTGTCGTGGCTCGTGTTCGTGCTGCGCTTGTTGTTGGCCAGGCTCTTCACATACACATACACATACACATACACATCCACATATGGGAAAATCTCGTTTTGTCAGTGATTCGCCCGCGGATGGAGGCGTGGCCGGCATTGAGGGCGTTTGCCGGACCGGCGCCTAGCTGCAATATTAAAAATGATATGAAATCAACAGACCAGCGAGATACACACACACACACACACACGAAAGTTACTAAAAGAGTTACTGGACCATGGCAGCATCAGTGGGAAATGACGGCTTATAGAGCACAGCAGCAGCAACTGCAACAACAACAACAGCAGCAGCGTAACATACAGCGATAGGTGCATAAAGCTGATTTTGTGTATGTGTGTGAGTGTGCGTGCGTGTGTGTGTATTTGTTTCATTTCATGGACACAAATCTTTTAATAGCATATACTGCCGGTAATGGCTTACAGAAGAAGCAAATCAAATGCCCAACTATGATATACCCTAAACCCAGAACATTGCTTAATGTTCAGCTGGAAAAGTTTTGTGAAAGATATAGGAGTAAATAACTTAAATACTAATATGATGGAGTAGTGTCTCAGTTTTTTCGTTCTCCCATAATGAATAGAGATATTCGCATATGAGCTATGGAAATTTTGGCTCACAGCACAAGCAAGTCAAACGATCTACGCCTGCAAAATAGCTCAAATGTAGCTGTTATCAGAGATTAAAAAGCATTCTTGATTTTAATCCATGCTGAGATGTGACTGTTTCGCCTGATAGAATATTTTGAATGTTAGACAAACGTATTTAAAAAATACTAAGCCGAGTGCATTTAATGTGTACATATGTAACTCAGCTATTTCGTTCTCTCATTGGTCTCTGCATCGAGAATCCGACATGTTTTGCAGCACAGCAAGGGCATTGAGTCACATCGAACCCAATATGTTCATCAGTTGAATCGATAATCCCGCCCAAAAAACCTGGGCTTTATGCGAATTGTCATCCATATGTTTTTGCCTGTCAAAATATGTTGAGCGGCAACATTTTTATTTTATTTTATATTTTTTTTTTAATTTTTTATGCTGCTATGATAGCTGAGCAAGGCTGAATTATATTTGCTGTATATGAATTACAAATGAAATTTATTGAGAAAAAAAAAAATTTATTCATTGAGCTAATATTAAAACAAGTAAGAACGTTGCAGTCGGGCGTTACCGACTGCGGAATACTCATTCACATCCCATCAACAATTTAGTAGTTAAGTTTCGCTCTAATACTGTAGATTATACAGGTTTTTCCGATTTGCCACGCCCCAACTGGGCGTAGACACCTCATTTTTGGTCAGTTTTTAGAAAGAGATAACGGTACCCTAACTGCAAAGTTTGAATGCTTAACCTCAAAAAATGTGAAAATTACAGGGTATTTTTCGATATGCCACGCCCCTAAAGAGGCGCAAAAATTATTTTTGGAGAATCGATAGAGGAGGCTACCAGTAACTCAACTATCCAAATTTAAAGCTTCTAGCTATTATACTTTAGGAGATATAAACTTTTGTAGTTTGCCACGCCCCCTGTGGGCAGACATATATCCGACAAAACTTTTTGGTCTTGGGTGATCAGTCCGAGTATATATACAAAATTTGAGGTCTCTGCCATCAGTAGTGTCCAAAATATAGGAGAATTTAAAAAATCACTATATCTTCAGGTCCGATTTGCCACGCCCCCAATGGGCATAGACTTATAATTTTATTTTTAGACTTTATAGAGTCATACCATTAGCTGACGTGCAAAATTTCAGCATTCTAGGCTTACAACTTTAGGAGATACAGTTTTATCCGATTTGCCACGCCCCCAATGGGCGTAGATAAATCCGCCATAGCTCGTGATCTTGGGTGGTCAACGCGGACCTACATACCAAATTTCAGCTTTCTAGCTCTTTAACTAACATGATTTCTGGTATATCGGAAAATGCATTTTCCGATTTGCCACGCCCCTAGAGGGCGGATCGGGAAAATTTCAACACTTTATAAATCGGAGATATACACGAGTATGTGTTCCAAATTTCAAGTCTCTAGCTTCAATAGCGCCGAAATAGATTGCGTTCATACGGACAGACGGACAGACGGACAGACGGACGGACGGACAGACGGACGGACAGCAAGACGGACATTGCACAAAACCAATATACTGATTCACTTTCGTGAATGAGTATAAAAATATATAAAAGTATATCTATACGTATATATATATATATATATATATATATATATATATATATATATATATATATTTTTTTTTTTTTTTAATATTTGCTCAATGAATATATTTTTGTTACTTGTTTCATGTTTTTTTTTTTTTTTTTTTTTTTTTTTTTTTGGATATGCTATTTGTATTACAAATTAATCAGAATTTTTTTTTTGTTTTGCAATGGCTCAGTTGCGGTTTACGCTGCCATTGGTAAATAATACGGAATGAAAAAATATTATAATCAAAGAAAAAGAGAGAGAGAGAGAAAGAGAGAGGGGGAGAGCGGGAGCAAAAAAAATGCGTTTTTATAAATCACTGTCGAACCGTTCAATGTGCAATTTAACGGCCTGTCATTGTTGCAGCCAACTAACTAACTAGTTGACTAACTAACTAACGAACGTACTAACTAGCTAGTTGATGTTCTTGCTGATGCATATCCTATTACAGTTTCCGTTGCGGTGCACCCAGAGTTGCTGCCACTCGCAGTGAATGCGGCACAGAGTCTAAAGATGAGGCGCTGTACGTCCGTCCGTCCGTTCGTCTATCCATTGGCCAGGCTCATTGCCAGCTGGGTTAGCTAGAATTTTACTTGAGATTGATATTTATGGTGAGCCAAGATCTGGGATTATTACAGAGTTGAATATGAATATATGAATATAATATAAATGAGATATATTTATTTATATATATAGATATATATTATATGTATATAATATAATATACGATCTCATTTTCGTACATTATATACATACTATATATAAAATATAATAATAAATAAATACAAATAATTGAAATGTAATAAAATATACAAAAATATAAAAGAGCTAATTACTAATATACATATATACATTAAAATATAATAATAAATATAAAAATATAATAATAATATAAAATATAATAATAAATATAATAATAAATTTTAAAAATATTTAAGGACAACTTAAATACTAATATGATAATATATAATAGTACTTAACTTCATATATTTTATTTTATTTATATTTATTATATAAAATATAAAGATAATTAGCTCTGCTATTATTATATTTTATTATATTTATATTTATTATTATATTTTTTAATTACTAATATATATAATTAATAATATTGATAAAATAGAAAAATAATATATAATAATGTTAACTGAAATGAGTTTAAAATCTCTTGTAATATAAAATAAAAACTAAATCAAAATTTAATACTGCCTATTGAGGCCCTTTATATATTTATTCGTATGCTAAATTAAAACTATGTACTTAATATCACCCTATTTTGTTCAGTGTAGTGCAGCCTTGAGCTCTTCCGATGCCTTAAACTCTAGCTTTAATATACGTATTTTCTTGTCTGTGTTTTTCGCAGGACGAACGCCAGCTGAAACTATAAACTGCAGCAGCAGCAGCAGCAGCAGCCGACTGTGTGTGTTGGTGGGTCGAGCTTGGCCAACTATCATTGTCTTTGGCATTGGGCAACATTTTAATTGAAAAAGTTTTTGTCTGGTCTGAGGCAAAACGTCACACAAATATGACTGTCAAATTGGCCAAACTCTTTGGCAGCGGCAGCAGCAACAAATCGAAGGCAAACAGCGGCAGCGGCAGCGGCAGCAATGCGTCCAATGCGTTGCCCCTAAATGGCCATGGACATGGCCATGGCCAAAATATGCAGCTACCGGCACCGTCACTGCCACTGCCAGCCAATGGGAATGCGAAGCTGATTAAATATTGCGATCATCAACATGATCGCCAGCGGCCGGCGGCAATGACCATTTACGGGCATGCCTATGAATGCAATCAGATGGAGGTGGAGCTGGAGAATGACTACGATGACAACATGTCACTGAGCTCGGCCTACATGCAGCGCAATCATCCCTACAACAACTCGCAGCGTCCGCTGCTGGGCGAGCGGCGTCCCCAGCTGCAGCTGACCAAGGCCGCTGGCAAGAAGAAAACGGGGACGGGCTCGCCCATGGCCGGTATACCGCTGCCGGCGCCACCTCTGCCGCCGCAGCGCAACATCAATGGCGCCAGCGCCAGCGCCAGCGACGCTTACGTCTCTCCGTATGTGCAGCAACAGAAGCGAGATAGCGCTAAGGGATTGCACGGCTTTAACGACTTTGATGCGCTCTCCCAGCAGTACAATCAGCATCTGCAGAGTCCGCACATTGGCTATCCGTATGGCAGTCCGCCGTCGCCGACGGCTCAGTCGAGAGACTTCTGCTTTGATGGGGAGCGCGAGAAATCCTTTAAGCCCGTCTCATCCACCAGTAGCTCGACGGCCACAACCAAATCGAATTGTAGTTCCAGCTCGGCAGCAAATGGCTCACCGCCGACCAATGCCTGCTATCATCCGTCGGATTCTGGCAATTATCTGGACGCACAGCACACGGCGACGGCACAGCTGATGCTGCACTCGTCACGTTTCGAGGATGATTTCTGTACGCGGCGAAATGTTGATTTTTTGACCGACACCGAGCGGTCGGGCCTGAATTCGAATACGAATTTGAATCCTCATCCTCATCCACATCCACAGCCAGTGGGGGGCCCAACAACGGGTCCCTTCATATTTGGCATCTCACATGAGCAGCAGCAAACGGATTATGGCCACCGCAGCAGTTGCAGCATCGACAGCATCACCAAAACTAACATCAAGAGCAACAGCAACAGCAGCAACAGCAACAGCAGCAGCAACAGGACCAGCAGCAACAACAACAATCTCTATCAGCCTGTGATAAATGCCACGCCTATTAAAGAACACAATGCACTGGTAAGTAGATATCACTAGGTAACTAGCTAGCTAGCTAGCCCAGGTCTTTCATTCACTCTCACAGCAGCGCAAAACGTGGCCCAAAAATTACAAAAAAAAAAAAAAAAAAAAAAAAAAAACTTGTGCTGCCTTTTTGCGATAATTAGCGTTTTGGCCAAATGGCGCGCCAGAACTCGCGCTGGACTGGGACTGGGACTGGGAGTGGGGAGTGAAACTGGGGCTGCACAAAAAGTTGGCCAAAACGACGCCATTGCAGATAAAATTAATTAGTGCGTTCTATGCAATTATTGTATTCATGTTTTATTTTTAATGAGCCAAAAGCCAGAGCAACAAACTTTCCTGCCAGCCAACAACGCGCTATCTAATTAACATCGGAATTTCGCAAATGTCCTCTTTAACGGCAATTGCTGCAAATTGTTATTTATCACAGAATACAATGGGAAAAGTTACATTTGCTGTGAAGCATTCACACGGCTCTCACTGCTCACTATTTAGTTGTTGGTGTATATAGTACAGTCGAGTCCCGATACTTCCAATTTAATTATCAAGAATTATCGAGAACGAATTTCGTTCAAGAGGATAAAATTTTTTCGATTTATCGCGATTTTCGATTTAGCGGAGTACAAATTATCGTGATTCAACTGTGTAGGGTGGCTATAAATATGAAAATATCCAAGGTTAATGATATAGATCTCCACATAAGCAACTCTAGAATTTAAAATATTGCCTTTACTTTGAATATTTCGAGTGTATGCATCAATAAATTGAGTATGGATAATATCACAAGATTTTCTAATCAGGCAGTTCCTAAAGCACTTTCATTTGTAGAATTACTTCACTTTTGAATGCTCATTCTGGGAGTGTAAGAGTATATTGAGTTTGGTATTTGTATCTGTCTCTCTGTCCGGCAATTCAATTATTTGTTTGTATGTCTGCCTGTCCATTCAACTATCCGTCCGTGTGTATCTTAACCTTTCTGTACATCCATTCGTCTTTCCGTATAAACGGGTATAGACTCCTCCCGAACTGCTTTACGGAAAAAATTAGCTTATTTTTATACTCTGAATGAGTATTATACAGTTGGTAATGCCCGATTTCAATATTCTTAGTTATTTTATATAGCTCTGATAAAATTTGGTTAGGTCGGGCTTTATCACATTAGCAAAATCTTATCAGCAGCGCACTGCTCTCTATCTAAGCTGGCTGATGTTTGCATAAAAATGTCTTTGTTTTCACAAGATGTCTAGACAAAACTCGGCATTATAAAGCGCATATTTGCTTAACCCCCAAAGGTTATGCGCGTCTGGTCTAATGATCTCTCTTTATTTAGTCAAAATTTTGGGCTTGTAAAGAGAATTATTTCAAAATATGTATATATTATATTTGGGTTAGAGGTTAAGAGGAAAAGAAGAAGATCGTAAATGCACAAAGCAAAGAGAAAAAGAAGCAGAAAAAGAGGTAAAAAATCGGTCGTGACCACAACAACAATTTGCTGGGTGAAGCAGCTGCGAAGACCTGAGAATTTCACAGTGAGCAAAAAGCCTTTGCGCGCATTTCGAAAGCATTTGAATGGCGAAGGCCAAGTCTTGAGAATTTTCCGATGATGCGGTTGCTGGTGTTGGTAGTGCTGGTGGTGTTGGTAGTACTGCTGCTGTTGCACGACTGTTTACACTGATAAAGGAGCGCGCTGCGCACCTACGGCACTCGAGCCACCGATGGGCAGACAGGGCAAACATAAAACTGATGGACACCATAGAACGTAAGCTCAGAATTAAAAGAATAGATAGGAGAATATAAGAAATAAGAAAAGAAATGGCAAATGGGAGTAAAAATGGGAATAAACGAATGAGGCAGAGCCCAACACACACAAACACGCACACACAAACACACACACACACAAAAGCCATGTCAATGTCTCGCCGAGCCAAACTTTGCTGTGGAGCCTTTCATAGTTGCTGCAGAACTTCAGAGTCCACGATGCACAGTGGTGCAAAGCAGCAGAAACAGGTGTGCAAGTAAATGAAAGCATAGCTAAAAGATCTAGAGTTGTTATCAGATATGAATATCAAAATATGAATATATATGATATATGTTTGCAGTATATGCATAGAGTATTTAATACCAAGAATATACAAGGAAATAGCCTATAAATAATAATATACAATCGAGTCCCGATAATTCAAAATGGAAAAGGAATCCGACTTTTTTTTTTCGATTTACACAAAAGTTCAAATAATCGAGAACAATTTTTTTTTTTAATGGGATAGAATTTTTTTTTTTATGATTTTCGATTTATCGATATTTGACGGAATATACAGATTATATTAATTGGTACAATCTATGCAATTACTTTATATATGTTATTATTTCACTTCATGTTTACTTTGGTATTCAAAACTTAATTGGAATATTATTTTCAGATTTTTGATAATATTTGTTTTATGTAAAATGCTAAATCTATTTTTAAAAACTTCAGTAAGAAATCTGGGTTTTGCAAAGAAAACTAGGTAGTGAACCCACTGTGTGCCGATGACGACTTGACTGCAGCAACAGCAGCAACTTTTTGCTGCAGAAGCTGCATACGCCTCGGTCCTCTCACCGTTCGACAATGCCAAGCAAATTAAAATGTTGTGCAAATAAAATGTAAGAAATTTTCACGTTTTCTTCTTTGGTGAAAGGCAACAACAACAGCAACAGCAACAACAATAAAAGTACAAAAATAAATAAGACCAAAAATACGAAGAAAAAAATTAAGAATATAGAAGCAGAGAAGAAAAGCGTTAAAAACTGTTAAGGGAAATGAAACGAAAAAAAAAAAAGTGGATTGCAAAACGCGAAAGCAGCTGAGCGCTGAGCCCAGAGCACTGAGCAAAATTAAAACACATTTTGTAAATTAATAATGAAATGAATGCATGAGGCGAGCCAACTGAAACACCCAAATGTCAATGTGTGAGCGCAGAACGCAGAAAATAGTCGAAAATGTGATTAACAGAAATCGAGACAGCAATGAGAACAACTAACTGTTCAGAAGGGCAAAATATATGAAATTCAAGTTGAAGTTATATGATCAAGACTTACCCAATTTATATCTATGGAAATAACATGTGAAGTGGAAATGTAACAATTAGAGAGAGCTCTAGCTCACTCGCTAGAAGAGTACTCCTTGCGAATAAGAAATATTTACTTCATTAATGAGACCTATAGATTGAATTTGAGAGCTGAAAATATACAGAATTCTGTTAAATGATGAGACTTAAGCTTGAATGCATCAAAGGGCATTATTTTATTTTTATTTTTATTAGTCAAGAGCTGTCTTTATAAGTACAATCGAGCTCTGATACTTTGAAACAACAAGGGGATTCGATTCTTTTTTTTTTTCGAGTTATACAGAAATTCAAAATATCAAAAATTATCGAGAACAAATTATTTTCAAGGAAACGAATTTTTTCGATTTATCACAATTTTTCACTTAGGGGGTACAAATTATCGAGACTCGACTTTATTCAATTATTAGAGTCTCCAATTCTTTTTTGAAAATATACAGAGATCTTTTACTACTACATGGAATGGACTACAGATCATCAAGAGGAAGGATATATAGTGAAGTATAGGATATCATAGAGAAGGAATAATATATTAGTAATACTTACTACTATTAATAATATATTAGTAATACTGAGCTTTAGTCTCTGTTTGGTTGAATGCACTGCTGGTTAGGAGAGGGAGGACTTACAGTGAGTGGAAAGATATCATAGAGAAGTAGTATATAGTTAATATTACGGATATTGCGAATAGATCTATTGCCTGAAAACTTGTGTCAGATATAGCTGAAATAGCTGAGAAATTGATTGAAATCGTTTCTTACAAGTCTAATCTATAAAAGAGAGGGTTATAATAAAATGACAGTATAGATACCATCGAGATGGAGATATATCTTTTCAATATAATTTGATACTTACTTTAATTTTATTTATTATATAAGCAATCTATAGCTTTGTATGTGTAAGTTTCGATTGGAATTTTTACCTAATAGGTCACTTTTTCTTAATGCAATTACAGTTGGATAATCTGGCTTAAATGGCATAAGCCTAAATTGCTAATTAATTATATGAACAATCATAGAACATTTAATGCTTAATTGTTAATTTGATTGACAATTATTTTATATTTATATACAAATATATATATATATATATATATATATATATATATATATATATATATATATATATATATATTTTTTTTTTTTTTTTTTTTTTTAATTTATAATTACATAAGTGTTGCAAGTTAAACTTTAAATAAATCCCAGCGAAGAAAAATTAAGTAAAGAAATAAAAATAAATAAATAAATTGTGTAAATTGTTGCTGTACCTGCAAATGTTGTTTTTGCCTTTGCTTTGAAAGCTTTTGCAATTGAAATCAATGCGTTTGTATGAGTTGCTGTTATTGTTGCTGTTGATGTTTATGTTTATGTCTGGTATTGCCACATGGTCAATGTTGATGTTGTTGTTGTTGTTGGAGCGCGCGTCGCTCTGTCTGGCAACGAAGCCAGTGCCAGACATAAAAGTCAGAAACGAAGCCGTTGTTGTCTGGGCTGTGTGAGGCTCACGCTTCGAAGACAAAGCGCAGCGAAGCATTGCAGCTTGAGCAGATCTCTAGGCAGGTGGATGATACGGCAGGCAACTGAGATGAGGCGGCCAATAAGCCACATGACCATGAGGCGGGGCGGGGCGTGGCGTGGCGTGGCATGGGGCGAGGGGAGGCGAGACTGTGCCAAGCTCCATTTCATGCTGTAATTGTTAATAACATCTCTATGTCGGACGCTGACAGCTGCTAAATACCTGTCAAACTCGGCCAGCTGACCTCCCCCCTGTGTGTGCATTATTTGATTAAAAGTTTTATTTTTGGCAGACGAGAGCTGACGCTCACTCTTAGTTTTTAAAGTGCGCTAGCCACTCAAATTCAGACTGCAGACTTCTTGAGCTGAGCGAACGCTTTAA